GCCATCCAGTCATTAACAATAATTTAACACATTGTTCTATGCTGGACTCCACACAGAGCATTGGAACTAGCAACTTATAACCACTTAGTTCCTATTATAACCACCGAAAGAGAAGGAGAAAATAATGAGAAGAGGAAAACGAGGGAACGTAGGAGAAGACAATGAACAGAAAAAAGAGAGAAAAGAGAAAGACAGGAAAGAGAAAGAAAGGTAAATGGAAAGGGTAAGCTTATGTAAGGTCACGTTTGTTAGAAAGATTAGAGCATTTGAGTATATACTGTGTAAGGGAAGAGTCCACAGCAACAAAGCTAGGACTCAAGTTCATGTTGGGTACATTGTGTATCAGAGCCGATTCAACAAGACGGCATCTGTGTAGAGTAGAGGCAGGAAAGATTATTTTGGAGGAAGACCAATAAATATCTTTATCTGCCTCTACTCTAATACAGGTTGTTATATAGATCTTGCAGATTATTTTCTGCAAGATCTAATAATCTTGAATAATATTCAGATTATTTTAGAGATTATTTTCTCTAATAAGAAAAAATAATCTTTCCTGCCTCTACACAGACGCCGTCTTGTTGAATCGGCTCTAATACACAATGTACCCAACATGAACTTGAGTCCTGGCTTTGTTGCTGTGGACTCTTCTCTTTCACAGTATATACTCAAATGCTCTAATCTTTCTAACAAACGTGACCTTACATAAGCTTACCCTTTCCATTTACCTTTCTTTCTCTTTTCTCTCTTTTTTCTGTTCATTGTCTTCTCCTACGTTCCCTCGTTTTCCTCTTCTCATTATTTTCTCCTTCTCATTCGGTGGTTATAATAGGAACTGCCTCGTATGAGCCAATAGGCCCTCTGCAGTTCCTACTACTAGCCCCTCTACTACACCTTACTTTGCTCCTCATCTCTCGTGCCTATTTATTGCCTGTCTCTACTTCCTCATCACAACTGATTTGAGAATGGTCCAGGACGGACCGAAACGTCGTCGTCCCTTCACATTCTAGTGTGTGGTCTGGTCATCATACTTTAGCCACGTTATTGTGACTCATTGCCTGCATATAATCTTTATAAGGACATGTTACCAACCACCAAGAGGACCTTACCTTCCCTTGGCAGACATCATGAAACTCACCAGAAGGAACAGACCTGCCTACTTCCTGGGGGATCTGAATGCCAAGCACAGAACACTAGGACATGGAAGGAACAACCAGGCAGGAGATGCCATCCATAATATGATAACAAATGGAAATCTAACGCACCTGGGCCCAAACTTCCCAACTTACGTCAGACAAGGACACAGTGGTAAACTAGACATAATACTGTCAAACAACCACCACTTCCTAAACACCTGCATTGAAAGGGGCTCAGTGAGCACAAGCGACCACCTACCAATAATACTGATGCTATCAACCAACCCTATTCAGAAACCCTCACCACCAAGACTTCAATGCATTAAAACTGACTGGGAAGCGTTCAAAAGCAGTGCACAGGAAATCAGTATCACTGACTTTAATGGAAAGGAAACATCATGGATTAGCACCATAGAAAAAGGCATGAACGATCATATCCCCGTAGCTCACCATATAACGCTCCCACACCCCCCAGCCACTGAGGCGCTCAGGACACTGCAAACCAGATATAACAACCTTCTACAACTCATAACACAAAGTAGGTGGACGGATGAGTGCAAAAGACTACAAAGGGAACTACAAGATGAGCTGCAAGATCTATGCAAAACAGAGTACACCAAAAAATGGGATGACCTAATAATCAAAATCCAGGTCGACTACAGAAACCCAGGAAAGTTCTGGAAAAAAGTAAAGACCCTGATGGGAAGCTCTTCTGAGGAAACACCCTACATCATAGACGCCTCAGGAAATAAACTCTACGAGGAGAGAGAACAAGAACAGGAATTCAGGAAGTTCTGGGAAAAAATATTTAGGGTAAACCCTGAAGAAAATTTAAACGTTTGCCCGATTAATGAAAGGGAAATTACAACTCAAATCAATAACAGAGCTGCAGCACTACTCCCGACGCAAACAATAGACCTTAACAACATCCGCAATGAATGCCACCTCATGAAACACATAACCATTGCAGAGGTCCATAAAACAGTTATGGGTTTCAAGGACAAGGCTCCAGACAACAGCAAAATAAATAAGATGGTATTATCCAACCTACCAGAGATTGCACTCCATCAATACAGACGTATAATAAATGCAGCTCTTGCATCTGGACTATTCCCCACATACTTCAAGAATGCCACAATAAGATTTATCCCCAAGCCAGGTAAACCCCCAACCCAAACTGAAAATTACAGGCCAATTTCCCTCCTCGAAGTACCAGGTAAAATATTCGAAAAAAAAATCAATCAGAGACTTGTGAAGTACATGGAAGCGGAAGAGAAGTATAACACCAGGCAACATGGGTTTAGAAACCGCAGAGGGGACCATACAGCTATAGCCCTGATCTACGAGCATATAGCCAATGCAGTGTCGAAAAATGATCGGTGTAATATAGTTCTTAGAGACGTTTCGAAAGTTTCGCAAAGTATGGCACACAGGCCTAAAATATAATATATCTTAGCTAGGACTTCCTGAGAGATTTACTGCTACTCTCTGCAGCTTTATAGACAACAGAAAACTGAGATGGGCGGAATATATTCTGCCTACACTATCTGTGAGAACCAAGTAATTACTAGGTTCATAACACTCAGGTTCCCTCTCTTTTGGGTGCCTTAACGGTTGAGGATCTTTCGACAAGCTGTCATTTGGCCTCGGTCTTTTGCTTCTTCGGTCTTCTGGGGCTGTCTTCAGATTGGCTTTCAGAGGATGTGGGGGGGGGGGGCATTGAGTGAGGGGCCTTTGGCTAGGGTTCTGGTTTTGGCTACTGCGGTGTTGTCTGCCTTGGTGAAGCTCTTTGTGTGATCCTCCGGGAGGTGGATGCATCATGTTTTTCTCCTCTCACCTTGAGTGTCGGCAGGCCGTGTTGACTCTGTCTTTGGATTCGGCTTGGGTCCTGGCTCTGTATTATTTTTCATTGTTCTGTTCTCTGTTGTTTCTGGAGGACATCGTTGCCCAGTTTCTGTCGGCAGCTTCAACCCGTTACCGTCCTTTTCTGGGGGGGAGCCCCTTCGGCTCCCCAGAGCTTTCTGGGCTGATACCAAGTATTCGCTTTGGGCATCAGTCAGTGTACATGGAGTTCTAGGCTTACTGGGGACCACGAGCCAGAACCTGGCTCCCCGTCTGAGAGGTGCGAGGTGCAATGGCCTATAGAGACACCTTATATATAATTTAGAAGTACTCTGTCTGCTATCGACTGGGTCGGGCACCCAGAAAGATTGGCGCTCCAAAGCAGCCCCCATTCTGGTTAAGATTTGCTACCAAAGCCGAATGAGTGGATAGAACTCCCCATGAAGAAAACGAGCAAACGAGCATAACGTCATCTCGTTACCAACACGCCGCTGTCTGCGCAACCCACCCATCCCTGGGAGGGGGAACGGGGGAACCCCAGACCTTCCGCTGGCTACCCAAGCCTGCCAGTTCTTAAGCTAGATGTCAAAACACGCAAAAAAAAACGCCGACCGGAGGGAGGGAGGGATGTCTGGGAAGAATGGTGTTTCGTTACATTTAACGCTGATTTTCTGGAGGGAGCCCCTTCAGCTTCCCGTAGCTAACTACCCAAAGACAAGGATAAAAGAGGGCGATAAGAGATTTTCTGGGCAAGCCCTGGAGGCTCCCCTGACACACTCCCTCTCTCCCAGTCGGTGGTTTTCATTGTTCAAGAACTGAAGTGGTGGGCTGCCAGCTCAGGTGAGCACTAACGAGGGGGGTGCTAGTTGGATGAAGTGTTAATTATTTGTTTCCTTTCTTGGAAAGTTCATTTTGCTATGTTCGGTTCGAGTTGTGGTCTGTTTTGCTTCGCTTATCTTTCTGAGTGCCCATCCTGGCCAGTAGCAATTATGACATACAATGGTATCTCCACTTACAAATTTAATCTGTTTCCAGAGACGGGTTGTAACACGAAAATTCATAACTCGAAACAAATTTTCCCATAAGAAATAATGTAAATTGAATTAATTTGTTCCACATCCCCAAAAATATTAGCCTAAAAATACATTTTGTCCTGAATACCACTCTTGTGCTAGCTACAATATAGTATTTATATCTTACCTTTATTGAGGACTCGTTGGTGTATGGAAGACGGTGAGGAGGGGGGAGGGGGGGGAGAGGTGTTATTGTTTTGAAGGGGAATCCCCTTCCATTATAACATGAGGCAGTGAGGACTTCTCTGGGGTATTCTCTCTCATATGTTTTGCCTGCATACCACTAGCACCTGGTTGTGGCTCACTGCTTGATTGTCTTACTAAGAATCTATCTAAAGACACTTGTTTTTCCCTACGTTGTAACACTTGTCTGTAGTGAGACATCACATTCATTCACTATGAATGATCTAATGTTTTTTCTTTATGGTCATCCTCACATGTGTTTTCTTAGGGTTGAACCTTACCACTGACTTTCTTTGGACCCATGGGATGATATATAATAATTACTTGTATGTTCAAAAAACAAAATAGCACAAAAACAATGAAATTATTTACAAGCGGGATCGTCACTAATCGGGCGGCTCTGGTAAACTGAGGCAGGGACACCTGTGCCACCAGGAGCCACACGCTTGGTTTTCATACCCATACCCATACATGTATCAACAAAGTCACTAGTCGAGGCAACGGTCGTAAGTCGCGTTACATTTTTCAACGAAATTGGGGTCGTAACGCAAAAAATTCATAAGTAGGGGCAGTCGTAAAGAGAGGTGCCACTGTACTTTAAATGTAAAGTGCTCATAGGCTATTGCTCCCTGCGGTCTGAGGGTAGGCATAAGGGCATAAGGGCACGAGGACTAATATAGCACATATCAGTTCGGATAGCTTCAAGGAGCCTCCAGGGCTCAGCCAGAAAATGGCATTTCATTACATTCAACGTTGTTTTTGTTTTCAGCCTGACCACCACTGGCCTTACTGAGGGAATATCACATGTGAATCAGCACAGTAAGAAGCAGAATAAAGATCACCTGGAAGTGGAAGTGTTTGACGATGACGAGGAAGTCAATCTTCTCAACACCCAGGAGTCATCGCATGCATTTGACTGAAAGTAACCCCAGAGTGGGCGACATTTTATCCAAGAAAAACATAGGAAAGCATTTTATTGCACAATGTGCTGACTTGGAGGTGGTGTTAATCCTAATTGCCCCTCAAATTTAGCCTCCAAATACAATGTTATTGCCAAGGTGTTATTTGGAAAGCTTAAATATTTAAAACTCATTTTTTACAAGCAAATTTCTTTTGCTTCTGGGTTTTTGCTGAGCACGTTATAAATTCCATTTTTATTTCATAATTGTGTTTAACAATGGACCTGAAATTTATTAGACAAGAATGTTACTATATGCATTTAATTGTAATATAAATCAAGGAAATTTGTATTCTAAAAATATCAAATCATGATGAAGACAGGACAATATTTAGAGTGTAATTTTCATATTGAAATTTTTTTTAAATTAACTAGTCTATATATTAGGTAATATCACTTTACCTAGCAGTATTTGTATTTGGCTTAGCTAGTATAAGATATATATATATATATATATATATATATATATATATATATATATATATATATATATATATATATATATATATATATATATATATATATATATATATATATATATATATATATATATATATATATATATATATATATATATATATATATATATATATATATATATATATATATATATATATATATATATATATATATATATATATATATATATATATATATATATATATATATATATATATATATATATATATATATATATATATATATATATATATATATATATATATATATATATATATATATATATATATATATATATATATATATAATATAATATGTGTGTGTGTGTGTGTAAATCACGAAAATTAACACGTGATGAAAAATGTGACAGTGTCAGACCACGGAGGAAGAATTGAAACAGGAATTTCTTTAAGTACTTTCGTATATTAATACATCTTTGAAGATGTATTAATATATGAAAATACTTAAGGAAATTCCTGTTTCAATTCTTCCTTCGTGGTCTGACACTGTCACACACACACACACACACACACACACACACACACACACACATAATATATATATATATATATTTATTATCAGAAAATATTGGTTTGTCTTTTATAAAAAGGAATATTTGTGAGTTATAAATAATATACTTTGTTTACATTTGAAGGATCTCTGCTTTGATCTAATCTAGATAACAGAGAGACTATTGTACACTTTTGTACCACATTATGCAAGCCATGGCCATACTGTAAATGGCAAAGTCAGCTAACTCACCCGCTCGGTGAAGTATAGATATAGGGAGGCTAGGCTTCTCAATACTAGTTGCAGCACTCTTACTGGTAAATGTCTAATTTCCCAATCATTCTCTGGTTAAATATATTTACTCGACTATACCCAGTGCCTAGGATTCAGCCTCAGTCTTGGTGAGAAGTTCCGGGTATCACTTAATTCAGCCCAGTACCCAGGATTTCACCAGTGTGTTCTTCAGTCAAATGGGGAGGAGACTGCATACAAGATCATCATGAACAAGTTTCTTGAGATATAATGCTAATGGCTTAAGTGTTCTTATAATAAATCTTCACATTCTCCTTTGTGTGCTGCAATGACTTAGTGATAAGGAGAGAGAATGCAAATATCACCTTGCTTCACAAGTCAGAAGATGCATACTTCTAATGCAGACTAAATTGCATTAATATTTCCACACATATATTACATATTTATCTCCAGTATTTCCAGTGGAAAGTTGTACTGTAATAGACTTTACGCTGAAAGTCCAGCTGAAGAACTATTGATATATGCAGTTTTGACTTAATGCATCACATGAACTCAATGCAATAAATAATTTGTTGCTTTTTGCAATATTCAACATTGGTTTTTGTTGTATATCTGTAGTGGGGTTTATTTTACTATCTCCTGCATTTTGTCTGTAGATAAAATAAGATTTTATATAGTTAGATATTAATGGTGAGATTAATTTCTTAAAATTGAAAATTTTATAGTGACTACGTATAAAGTCAGATATAGTAGCCTTAGTTTCATTGTCTTTTATGTTTTTACTATAATTTAAATACGGCTGTTTATATGTTTTATATTAGTTTTCAAAAAAACAGTACTTCTCTCTTATATTCTTAAGCAGGTTTATCTGATCATGATTTTGGTTAAAATGTGTGCCTAATTTATTTATTTAGTTTTCGTATTTTTTTCATCTACAATATATTTTTCGTGCAAATCTAGAAGCTTGCACATAGGCGTTTATTGTGGTACGAGAGTTGGCTTCTTGGGTGTGTAAATGTTAATACTGTATTACAATATCAAGTTGGACATGCAAGATTTTGTGCAAAAACACACGGTAAATAGTTTTTTCAGGGTCTGTATATACATTTGTGGGAATACTTAGAAAGCTAAAAGATAATAGTAAAAAAGTCAGTATAATTAGAGAAACCATGTAAGATATAACTGACATTTGGGGCATAAGAATTATTAACAGTTCTGTAAATGAAAATTCAACAATTTCAAGAAATCATTTCACATTATTTTGACACTAGTTTGGGTAATACAAACAAATATGGAACTTTCATATTTGAGAGTGGTGAAAGATGTAGTCGGTTGCATGCTTGTGTATATATATATATATGGCAGGTGCTTGTGTCCTTAGTTTCACACATGATTAAAAGTATTTTGTGCAGTTTTAAGAAATAACAAGAAAATATTTCAGCATATTTTGAACAAGTTGAGTACAGTAGCTGTGTGTGAAGTACTGGAATGATTAATGTTAAATGTCTAATGCATGTATGTGCTGTCCTGCATACAGGCAGGTATTCTTGCTGAAACATGGCTTCAATTGTCTTTCATTGTGTTCACATTACTTAATAAACATTTGAATATACCGTGTGTGCTTTCTAAAATACTGTTAGTGTTCTGCATTACTGTTAAGTTACAAGACTGATGTGTGACAGCCAGTCTTTCTATGGGGGACTACCAGTATTTGTCTCAAAGGTAATGTTGTATATTACAAACTAAAGCAATGCATGAAGTGATCTGTGGTAAAGCCAAGTTGAAGGGATGATTTTGTCTGTAGAGCATGACAAGACCTATATGCTGTATGATTGAATGAATAAATGAATGACAGACATATACCTGGTGTGTCTGTCTGACCAGGTCCCAGGATTAAGCTAAAGCTAAACTGAAACTTAAAATTGACTTCAAGACTCTCATTGGCTAGTCATGTAAACTGTTTACTGATAGGTACATCCTAGTACATAGAAGCTTATTTAATCATCTTTGTGTATGTTGTACATAGCTTTTATATTTTTTTGAGAGGGAAGAGAGGTTCTATTCTTCCCAACTGTCCTGTACTGCTGGGATTTCTAAAATGTATGTATTGTAGAAAATTAACAAATTTACTTTTGATCATTCCCTTTAGATTTAGAATATAAATTCTGGCATGTTTAATATGCTTCCTGCTTTTTCAAGTTGTATAATAACTTGATTAAGGAATGTAGGTACTGGTATAACCAAAATAAGATATATTTTCATAAAACAATAATTTTAGATCTCTCGCCTCTGTGTAATAGTAATAGTTCGGTGCACTGTATTTAAAAATCCCCCACCATGGGGCTTCACTAGTTTAGTGCTAATCACTTACCCTGCCAAGGTAGGTATTGTTTTACTCTGTTGTCTAATCTAATGCACTCATTTCAACATGATACTTGTGAGCACTTATTAATGATTTTAAACTTTCAGTACTTGCATGTGTTCATAATAAAAAACTGCATATTAAGCTAGGCTACTATAATCTTTTTCCATCATTTTGATAAAATTTTCATTAGGGTGTTATGATTTTTGCGTGATTCTGTAACAGATCGGCTGATGTGCTCCAAACTCAATATAGTCCCTTAGCAGTAAAGTATTTTTCTTCAACCCTTTTTCTAAGAAACGGTAGAGATATTTGTTTAAAATATGGTGTGTGTGTGTAATTATCTAAGTGTAGTTACAGGATGAGAGCTACGCTCGTGGTGTCCCGTCTTCCCAGCACTCTTTGTCATATAACACTTTGAAATTACTGACGGTTTTAGACTCTACCACTTTCTCACCTAACTTGTTCCAACAGACTACCACTCTGCGAAAGTGAATTTTCTTACATTTCTTCGGCAGCTTAGTTTAGTTAGTTTAAATCTATGACCTCTTGTTCTTGATGTTCCAGATCTCAGGAATTCTTCCCTATTAATTTTATTAATTCCTGTTACTACTTTGTATGTAGTGATCATATCGCCACTTTTTTCTTCTATCTTCGAGTTTTGTCATATTTAACCACTGTGCTGCTCAGATTCCAAATACGACACCCCCGGCCCCGGCACCCCCATCAGCTGGCCGGCCAAGCGGACAGCACGCTGGACACGTGATCCTGTGGTCCCGGGTTCGATCCCGGGCACCGGCGAGAAACGATGGGCAGCATTTCTTTCACCCTATGCCCCTGTTACCTAGTAGTAAATAGGTACCTGGGGGTAAGTCAGATGTCACGGGCTGCTTCCTTGGGGTGGAGGCCTGGTTGAGGACCGGGCCGCGGGGACACTAAAGCCCCGAAATCATCTCAAGATAACCTCCCCTCCCCTGTGTGCAGGAAATTAATTCTTGGCAAAAAAATTATTTTGTTTTTGAAAATGTTAAATACCCTTCTCTGATCACAGATATGTAAAAAAAAAAACGAAATTGTACCTACTTTCGTCGCAATGGGGTCTGGAAAATGATGTGTGACGTCACGATTTGGTGGTCGCCCGTGGCGTAGACTCCCGGAGCCAGTCGTGCACCAGCTTCAACATGCGCGAGTTGCCACAAATAATTTTTTTTCCATTTTTTGTGTACATTTCCAAATACATTTGTTTTTTCTTGCCAATCCTGTGTTTAATGAACACGTACACAATATTATGGCAGTAGAACATCTGTACTGTCCCAAGACACTGTGTTACATGCATCACAAATATGTCCACATATGTTGCTCATATAGTATATCCAATGTTTCATATTTATGTATATTTACAACATATTTACAAACTATACACTATCACACACTATATACATTCATCATCAACACACTCCGCGAGTGTGAGCTGCCACACCCAGCCAGCCCTCTCTCACTCCTCCAACACCTTACTCGCCAACATTCCTCCTCCCATCATACTGTTATTGTTTCTATTACACTATTTACACACGTTATGTATAAGTATTTACATGTTTTATTAACCATAACTATACAACTA